GAGTTGTTTCCCTGATTCTTTCCTCGTCTTCTCTGATTCATCCTGCTCAGTATTAGAAATTAGTTCTCAGGCCAAGTTCCTACTAAAAACAACTCCAGTGATTCCTTACTGTTTGCCAATTAAAGTATATTAAAGTTTCTTCATGATGAAGCTCTAATTTCTTCCTAGAGTTATTTCCCACTATAATGTATATATGCTCTCTGCACTGCCGCCAAACTTAATTGCTTGTAAACATTATAGTTAATAAATATTATTTCCACTGGCTCTCAGGTACTATAAATATGTGAACATACAAATGACTAAACAGGGGCGCCTGGGTGGCTCCGTTGGTTAAGCGACTGCCTTCGGCTCAGGTCATGATCCTGGAGTCCCGGGATCGAGTCCCGCATCGGGCTCCCTGCTCGGTGGGGAGTCTGCTTCTCCCTCTGACCCTCCCCCCTCTCATGCTCTCTATCATTCTCTCTCTCAATAAATAAAAATCATTAAAACAAACAAACAAACAAATGACTAAACAGCATAAGAAAGATGACTTAATATAGCCCTCTAACCGTGAAATACTTAAACATAAAATTATAATTTTGAAATAATATGTAAAGTTCAAAAAAATTCTTTGCTTGTTTCAATTATGTAGATTATCTTAAGAATTATGCAAAAATCTAAAATAACTTCCTTTTTTGTGTGTATACCCTTCTCCTGTTTTGTAGGAAACAACCTGATAGCTTAACACCTGACTTTCTCTTCCCAATTTTTTTTTTTACGATTTTATTTATTTATTTGAGAGAGAGAGAATGAGAGAGAGAGAGCATGAGAGGGAGGAGGGTCAGAGGGAGAAGCAGACTCCCCGCCGAGCAGGGAGCCCGACGCGGGACTCGATCCCGGGACTCCAGGATCATGACCTGAGCCGAAGGCAGTCGCTTAACCAACTGAGCCACCCAGGCACCCTCTCTTCCCAATTAAAGGTCGTTTAACTCACATAAATTATACATAAAGTTTTTTAATCTTAATTAACTCTTTTGTCTGATTTCATGTGTTTCTTGACTAACATTTCTATCATCCCGGTCACAATCCATTTGACATACCTCTCAGCAAAAAGCTGGCCCTTCAGTTAGGAAACGGAGCCACATTTTACATCTATTCCCAGCCTTGAACATACCATCTGACCCCTCAGCAGCTGCCCTTCCCTCTATCCACAACCCCTTCCTTTCCAGTTTTGTGCTCTAAACAGACCCCTGGACTTATGGGACTTTGTCTTCTGATCTTTCCTTATTTACATAAATACACAATGCAATACATACTAGAATAGCTTATTGAATTTAAATAGGTAATATATTCACAGTGGTGTGTGTTTTGTTTTGTTTTTTTCCTTCTACAAGGCTGGGCTTCTGAAATGTCATTGACTTTCTTTTGTCAAACCATCTTGATCATCATTCTGGGCTCGTTATATTAAAGTAGAAAGTGTGTTTCACTAGAACCCTCTGTTTATAAACACCTACTCATTCCCCCTCAGGGAACCACACCCCATGGGCCAGGAGGATGCTGGGAACTCACACTGAGTGTTTGGCTTAGTTATAGTTGGGTAATTGCCTCTGACCCTGTTCCTAAGCTGTGATTTCCAATAGCTACAGGGATTTCCTCTACTTCTGACCTGATTGAACCCATTGTGTAACTGGCTCGGTATGATAGCCCTGATGTGGAGAAGAACGAACAATTCTCTGGAGGCAGACAAGGGATTGATTTTGAACACAGGGATTGATTACATTTCAGGCAACAGGACTGTAATTTAAGGGGTAAAGCAGAGTCAATGAGGCCAATATAATGGTTTCCCCTACCAGCACTGATGCAATTAGCAACTAATTTTAATTGAAAAGGTGCAGGAACTCTTGGCCCTCTTCCTCTGGCCATCAGAAAATAGGAAATGGGAGGGAAAACCAAGTCAGTGTTCATTTTGGTGGAATGGTAATGCATATTTAGTAATACCAAATCTAAAAAGCATAAATCACTTTAATAGATTCAAATTCTGTTATATTATGCCATTGGTTTGACCTGGCTTTGAATGAGAATAATTGGCATTTCATTTATACGAGTTATTGAAGGTTATTAAGGAGATACTTTCTCTATCCCCAAAGCCACTCTTTTTTTTTATTTAAATTCAGTTAATTAACATATAATGTATTATTTGTTTCGGGGGTACAAGTCTATCCCAAAGCCACTCTTATCATGTAGTCTGTGCCCCTAAATTTTCACCAAATTTGCCAAACAGAAATTCAGTTTATTATATTAGGCCTAAAGCATTCTGGCTACTGAAGTCCCTTCTTACATGCTATCATACTTCAGTAAACGTAAGGAACACCTTGGATACCATGTCTCTGATTCTGATTCACTGGGTCTAGGATAGGACCCAAGAACTTATTTTTTCCTTAAGCATATTCACTGAATCTGGTATATGAATTGCATTTTGATAAATACTGCTCTACATCTAGAGATTACATATGAACTAGGTATTAATTGTTAAATGTCCTAGGCTTATCTGAAATCATTTTTTCTTCAACAGCATGTTGGAATATTGGAACACAAATCAGCTCAGTTTCAAGAGAGGGTCATGGCAAGAAGAAAGTATGCAGCATGGTTTGGTTGTCTGAAAAAACAGGCTCAGACAGGGTGTCTGGGGAAGGAGCCCTGAGTGGGTGATCCGAAGCCTGCATATGTGTGTTGGATGCATATGGCCAGCAGCAGGGCCAAGATTGAAGTTGGATTGGTATCTGAGGGGGATTATCTGGGATTCACTCTTGGGGTCATGTAAGAATAAGTGTTTCCTCCCATTTTGCACCCTAGGCACCTCATTCACCTCACCCTAGTCCTGGCTTTGGCAGATAGCCTCTGAAACGGCTGCCAGTGATCCTACCTTCGGGGATTCATGCCCTTGTGTAATCTGCGACTCTTGTGTGTGGACTGAACCTAATGACTTGTGTCTAATGAGTAGAGCAAAGGTGATGGGATGCCACTTCTAAGAGTAGGTTATAAGAGACTGTGACTTCTACCTTATACCCCCCACAGCCCATCTTTTGTTTTTTAACTCTGATGAAACAAGTTGCCATTTGTGACTATTGAGGCTTATTGGCATTTCTGCCTTATTGGGAGACCTATGTGGCAGGGAACTGAGGGTGACCTCCAGACAACAGCCGGTGGATCCTTCCCTGGTTGAATCTTCATAGAAGACCACAGCCTCCGCAGACAGCTTGATTGTAATCTGCGGGAGACTCTGAACCCGAAGCTCCAGCTAAGCCTTGCCCAGATTCCTGACCACAGAAACTGTGAGATAGTCAATACTGTTGTTTTACGTCACTGTGTCTTAGAGTAATGTTTTATGCAGCAATAAATAACTAACATAGTGCAGAAAGATCCTGGTGGTGGTGGTGGTGGAGTGTTGGTTGTTGAACCCGAAGAACAATATAAACAAGGAAAAGTGAGAAGGTACTGAGGACACACTGAACCCAGTTTTGTGTGTTTTAGACAGTTGGGCCAGGGATGGTTCTTCCTACGGGTTGCTTCTTTTTCTTCTTCCTTACCTCCTCCAACCCTTCGCTTCCTTAGGAGGAGAAAAAAAAAAAAAAGCTGGAGAGTTGCTTTATCAGTGTTAACTGCTAAGCTTTGAAATTTCTTCAATTAAGTGTCCAAGATTGGGGCGCCTGGGTGGCTCAGTTGTTAAGTGTCTGCCTTCGGCTCAGGTCATGATCCCGGGGTCCTGGGATCGAGTCCCGCATCAGGCTCCCTGCTCCGCAGGAAACCTGCTTCTCCCTCTCCCACTCCCCCTGCTTGTGTTCCCTCTCTCTCTGTCTCTCTCTGTCAAATAAAATCTTTTTTTAAAAAAAAAAGTCCAAGATTATTGCCATCACCACCTCCTTGTCTATCATAAACTCCTTCCCTGAAATTTGCCATGGTTCCAAGTAAGAAGGTGGCTGTATTTAATAGTGATAATATCTTCAGCCAGCAGCCACAGCCACTAGAATACAAAAATTAAAATGTCTGACATTGCAAGGATGTAGAACAACTTGAACTTTGTATACGTTGCTGGTGGGAATGCAAAATGGGGTGGTCACTTAGGAAAACACCATGACACTATCTTATAGAGTTAAACCTAAATCTACCATGTGACCCAGTAATTATACTCCTAGATAGCTATCCAAGAGAAATAAAAACTTCTGTGCACACAAAGGCTTACATTAAAATATTTATAGCATTTTAGTTGTAATAGTCCAAAGCTAGAAACAATTCAAATGTTCATCAACTAGTGAATGGATAAGCAAAACTGGCATTAACAGATTGTCCTCTGTTCCCCTTTGTCTTTCTCAGGGTCCTCTCAGGTGAGTGCCTTCCTTCTAACACCATGAACAGTCATATTCCTCCTAGGCTTTGGGTTTGGGGCTCAAGAGGGAGGGCATTACCTTTCTGATGGGAGAGCCAACAAGTGGGACCTTCTACACTAACTTAGATTTGTCCTTTTTACGGGCCTCTGATATTCACTTGCCAATTAGCTCTTAGAAGCTTCTATTGGAAATAAGGTGCTTCTGAGATTTTTGATGCAGGGATGCAGCTCAGAATTACAAGTGGCCTCCTTAATATTCTGCATCACTAGCTAAGGCTTACACAGCAAATATCCATGCCCATCAAAAAAAAAAGTCTAAGGTAAAGTGCATGCCTAGCATAATGTTAGAGCCGTCGAATCGCTATGTTGTACACCCGAAACTAATGTAACGTCGTGTGCCGACTATACTTCAATTTAAAAAAGTACGTGCAAGAGGTTCATAGGAATAAAAGGGCCATTATGGAAGAACTAGTATAGGCCAAGTGACATCTGCCACGACCTTCAGTCCCTCAAGTGGGCTACCCTGTAGCTCACTGTAGTTCTATTATTTTTTTCTTTTTTTAAGCCCACCTAATGATTCTTAACTTAGAGCTGACAAGCTACATAGAGTACATGAGTCAGGACCAGGACTTGCAGAGGTCAAGAAACTTTATTCTTTATGAATGATCGCAGAGAAAAGATAAACATCCTCATCAATGGGGTATTTTTTTTTTTTTCTTGTAATGGAGAGCATCTTCCTTCCAGATCGATGTCAGCACATCCCTTGTCAAGCAAGTCTATAATTCCATCTCAGGCAACTCCTTTTATGGGCATAACAAAGTCATTGGCTGATTTAAATGAAGGAAGGGGGCTGAACATTTAGAATAAAGATGAAAAAATTTTTGAATTTTTGTGAGCCCCGATGACTAACTTTCCACACACACAAAATCACTAGTGATGAAAATAACTATTAAATATAACTAATATCACACTATACCATTATATGTGGTTTTGACTTGTTATCCCCCTTTTTTTTTCTTTCGTATTTGTCTAGTCTTGTGTGCTTGCTTAAAACCAATGAGGCCATGGCAAGGTTAGAGTTGAGACCAGTTCTTTAAGGGCTACTTCTTGTTCTGCTGAGAGTGTATCTTCAGTTGCCAGGGGAGGACGTGTGCATGAATTCTCTTGCCTGGGTTAAGGTCAACTATAGCCGTGTAGGATGAACCCAGCTGTGGCAAGTTGGTAAGTCCAAATTTCAAGATGACACAAAGGAATTGAGTCAGGCAAGAACCAGAAGATTTGGGGCCAAGTTAAATGCTATTGCTTAATGGGAAAGAGGAGAGGAAGGAGGACATGGAAACGCACAGGCCAGTTCCTGCTGAGATGATATGCCTCTGGAAACCCTGCATGCTTAGTGTTAACTTGGTGTTGGTTTGTGTATTTTCAAAATCTGCAGTGGGTGGCTTCCACAGTCACCCTGTGACTGGGAACCTGGCACTCTCTGATGACTTTCACCCTTTCACTGTTCTTGGGACTTGTCTGAGAGGTTCTAATTCAAAGGAAGCTTTTACTTTGAAAGCTTCAAAAGTCATTTCACTCTACAGATTATATGTGGAGTGAAAGGCGTGTTTACACTTAGCTCCAATTGCTCTTAAATCCCTCAGCTTGTTCTTGCTGGTAAAATTTATGCGAGTGGGAAAGAGATTATTTCTAGGTATGGAGTGTGTGTTAGAAGTTATTATTTTTTTTCATTCTCATTCAACAAATATACACTAAGCAGCCGCTAGATTTGGGGGTACATGGGCAAAGTGCCTGTTTCAGAGCTTGTGCAAAGTCTCAATTCCTGAGGGATCCAAGCCCTGCTCTTTGAGCCCTGGGTCGAACCATAGACACAGGTAGTGCTGACAGCCATGTTCTTGTCATGGCTGAAGGCTTCTGGGGGATGGATCTTTGAGGAGCTACCTTAGCTGAGGCTCTCTTGGTTGAATCTCTAAGTACAGCGGCACGAGCCAAAGCTTCCTGTTGTGTAATGTAGCCTAAGGGGAGAGAAATGAGAGAAAGTTCAAAGTTAACAGTCTTACAAAACAAATAAGCAAACAACCCTGCAAATATTTATGGGTTCATAAAATGTCTTCTACTTCGCAGGGTAGAGACAGTTATGTTTAGCACACCAAGACTGTATGATTTTTGAGGATATGAAGTAGACTTTTCTTCTTTTGCATTTCTTGTTCATTAAGTTAATACATAGTCATGGATTAACATAACAGATCCCTTGGAGAGGGAGCTAGGCCTTGAGTAATCTGAGCATGCATTGCATATCTTTGTTTTCAAAACTTTCTTCAAACCAGAAACAGAGATATTCAGTCTCTGTCAGGGTTTTTAAATAAGTGTAGTCTGCAGGCCACCCACTACAGAATCATCAGGCTGAGACCACATTTAATAATGCTTTTTAAAAATTCAGATTTCTGGCTCTATTCCAAAGACTTTCCTGATCAGAAACTCAGAGAGCTAGGCCTGGAAATCTGCATGTTGATAACATAACGCAGGTATGTGCACTAAATACTGAATATCCCTGCTCTGGTTTCACTGGCCTCTCTGCAGTTTTGCTCTACAAACAAAGCTAGTAGGTGATGCTTCTGCAGGAATGCAGGCAATCATGGGGAGCAGGCCGCATCCTGGCTCTGCCATTTACTAGTCGCATGACCCTGGTCAAATGATTTCTTATCCACGCCTCAATTTTCTCTTCTATAAAATGTGAGTTATAAAGGCACCTACCATCTAGAGGTGTCTGAGTTTCAAATAAGACAATATATGCAAAGTGCTTAGAACTGTGCTAGGCACAAAGGGAAGCCTAATAACAGGTAACTATTGTTATTGTTCTTGTTACTCAGTCATTGGCAAAAACCATGTCTTCCTTTTGTGCGAATGCAGGAACAGCAATATAAGGTAGATGTGCTAATGTGAAGTGAGCTGCTTATAAAAAGAAAGCTCTGCCAGAGTCAGGAGAAGAGTGTAGTAGAGGCCAGCTGGAGACTGAAAACGTTTACTAGAAGAAAAGGGACTTAACAACAATCACACCTCCAAAGGTTGTACTTAAAGTCTGTGAAGGTCTTTTGCAACCATTATTTCATTTGTGCTTCATAAAATCCCACGAGGTTGCTACAAGAGAGATGTCAGAGCACGGGGGTGAAAACGTATGCTCTTTGCCGGCAAGGCCCTGACATTCGCTAGGCGTATGTCTTGATCAAGTTATATAATCTGTCTGAGCTGCAGTTTCCCACAGCTGTAAAGTGGGGAGAAAATGAGATGTTGTGTGTAGAGCTCTTAGCACAATGTCTGGAACATGGTAAATGCTTAATAAGTGTAACTGTTATTGTGGTGAGTGAACTGAGCCTCTGAATTTGCATATCCAGCAAGGGGCTGAGCCGTGGTTTGAGCCTAGACCATCTGCCTAAGCCCATCTCCATTTCTACTAGATCAAGTTCCTATAACTCTCAGACAGTTGTTGACATTTTATAGCAAGCCGTACTCTGATTTCTTGAAACCCTCTTAATTTACCATAAAACCTTGCTTTCTATTGTCAGGGATAATCATTTTTATTTTTTATTTTTATTTTTATTTTTTTTAAGATTTTATTTATTTATTTATTTATTTGAGACAGAGAGAATGAGAGAGACAGAGAGCACATGAGAGGGGATAGGGTCAGAGGACGAAGCAGACTCCCTGCTGAGCAGGGAGCCCGATGCGGGACTCGATCCAGGGACTCCAGGATCATGACCTGAGCCGAAGGCAGTCGCTTAACCAACTGAGCCACCCAGGCGCCCAGGGATAATCATTTTTAAACATGGCCTGCCAATTGTGTTATAATATAGCACGCTGGCAGAGGCCATTCTATTTGAGTTATTTATCTGGAAACTTGACTTCTGGCTCCAGCACACAAGTCCCTCCCAAGGGTGCCTGGTTTAGGTCAGGTAGTTAAAACTCACCAAGCAGCTGCTGGTGCTGAAGGCTGTGAATATAGCGGTTCTGCAGGGCCTCCCACTGGGGCCTGGAATTGTAAATCCTCATGATGCTATAAAAGTAGCGTTGCTGCCCTTGGGTTAGGTCCTGTCAAAGCAGAGCAGGTGATTTTGATGAGTTGGTGGAGTTCTATAGGACTAAGAGTGTGATGTATTCAAAGCTGACTTCTTTGGAAATAAGATATATATGTATACATACACATATATATGTATAACAATTTTATATATATACATTTCGCAATTGGAAAACAACAATTGGGTCATGTCTTCCCCTAGTTTACTTAAACAACTTCCACTGGCCTGTGTGATAGTGAAATTGGGTAAATAAAAGATTCTAGGTAAGTAGGTCAAGGTATTGGGCTGAGAGGGGTCTAAGGATTTCCAACATTTTATAATTTTTTTCCTGTATTATGATCCTTGTTGAAGAAGGTAGGCTGTGAGGATCTACACAGGGCCTGACGTAGGCCAGGCCAGGGAATGGGGACAAGAGAACTTTTCACCAAGAGTTGTCAGTAAGCAGGGGAGATAGCTAGATGAGTAGATGGGTAATGTGATAAAGGTTCAACATTATTACTTCAAAGGTGCTACAAAAACAGAGAAGAAAACAAAGTCTGTGCAGCAATCAAGGAAGGAAGGCTTTTTCAATGAGGTGACCAAAACATCTGAGTCTTAGAATGAGGAGGAATTTCCCAAGGAACTAGAATACTGGTTCTCAAAGGGCATCGACATCACCTGGGAATGTGTTAGAAATGCGAATTCTCAGGCCCCATCCTAGATCTACAGAATCCTAAACTCCGGGGAGTGGGGCCTGGCACTCTGGGTTTTAACAAGCTCTCTAGGTGATTCTGTTACAAGGACACCAAAATTTGAGAACCACTGTGCTAGAAGAAAAAGAAAAGCTAATTAGTGGGAGAAAGTGGTGTAAATTTTCCTATGGGACACAAAATGTCTGGATATATTAGAAACCAGATTTTTTTTTTTTTTTTCACTTCAAGCAGAATATAGAGTCTGAGCTGGGGAAGGCTGTAGAGGTAGGCAGGGGAAGATCATGGAAGACTTATAGGCAGTGTTCACATTCAAATTTAAAAAATAAGAATTAAAAAAAGAGTTGAAAGATTACCTTTAATATGAGGAGCCATTGAAGGTCTTTATTTAAGTAAAGTGGTTCTCAACGGGAGTGATTTTTGACCACTAAGGACATTTGGCAATGTGGAAAGACATTTTTGCTTGCATAAATGGTGAAATGGAGAATGGATGCTACTGGCTGTCGGCAGATAGAGGCCAGGAGCGCTGCTGAACATCCCACAGTGCACGAGACAGCCTCCCAGCCCCTCACAGCAAAGAATGATCCAACCCGAAATGTCATACCTGAAAGATCACTTTGGCCCCATCGTGGAGAATGAGCTTATGGGAAGACAGGCCACTGGTAGGGAGAGCATTTAGAAGGCTGCCATGTAGTGCAAAGGAGGAACAAGAAGGACCTGGACTACAGTTACTGTTCTCTACCTAATCTGTTGTCAGTGCTTACGATGATACTGGCCTCAACATTCTAGAAAAACCAAGGTGAAATAAGTTCACCCTAGGCCACAAAATTCAAAACAGTGATAGAAGTTTCAGAAGTAGTTGATAACCATTGTTAACCATTATTTAGTTATGGAAACTAAAATTAAGTTAATTATATGTAACAGTAAAGTGGCTTTTATCTGTTAGAAATTTTGTGTGGAGTTGAAACCTCTGAGTCAGATTTTATTTTTTTGATGTCTAGAGACCTTAAACTTGATATCAAAAATATATCCAGAGTGAAAGCCAAGCCAAGTACTTCACAATTTGAGGCATCATTTGAACTTTACAGTTTCTGAATTAGATGTTTTAAAAAAGAATATCTTTGAAGAAGATAATTGATTCCTAATTAAGCCTTTTCCAATGATGGAGAACAATATAATATGAAAATAGCAGTCAGTTTCAAGAGCAAAGCTCCAAAGGGCAATGAGAGTTTCCATTATATAAGATAAAATCTTAAAAGTTATGGTTTTATTTTACAGGGGAAAAAAAAAGTCTATGTCTTTTCCTTAGCAGAGGTCTAAACTTCCTAAATAATAGTCCTAATATTCTTATCCTGTTGTTTATCCTTCTTGAGGGGATGGAAGAGAACTGAAATTTTTGCAAAAAGTATTAATGACCGGGTGTTGTACGAAAACAATGAATCGTGGATCACTGCATCAAACACTGGTGATGTTTTGTATGGTGACTAACATAATAAAATAAAATTTAAAAAAAAAGTATTAATGAGAATGGCTTTAAATAACTGTGACTGAAAGGAACTACCATAGCTCTCTAGCAGGGAGCCACAGCGTGGTCAGCTGTGAACTGCCCATCACTGGGAGTGCTTCAGCAATGAAGATGTGACTATCTGCAGAGCTCCTGAAATGGATGGGTGTAGGACCAGACCATCCAATTGCTCATTCATTCACCCTGCACACCATCAACATGCACTGAGTGCCTATGTTGGGCCCGATGTTACCTGAAGCTGGATAAACAAAGACAGGAGAAAAAGCCCTCAAGCCTTGAAGGAGAGACAGGCAAGTTCCATCCATTAGTGAATAATACACTATACCTTCATTAAGGGAGTGTTGTGGGTGTAGGCAGAGGAGGGGACCCGAATGCAAGGAATCCGTGGAACATTCCAAAGCTTTTGTTGTCTTTTCTGTTTTTCTCCCATTCTTTATCCTGTACCTTCAAGGAACAACAAAGCATAGCATGAAATTTCATTTTGTTCAACCTGTTTTGGGAATGGACCTAAGTAAATAAGTAAGCAAGCAAGTAAATAAATAAATAAATAAATACATGTTATTGATGTCAAGGGATAAAAAGTTTTCTCACATGTTTCTAAGTAATTGGATCTCAGCAGACTGCTTAGTTCTGCATTTTGCCCTATTCTCCCCCCACCCCAGTTGTTGAAAGAATAACTCAGAGTTTTTTGTCTTTCTGCTTCATCTTGTGTTTGCAACAAGTGGACTGTAGAACCACATCACGTCACAAGTTATTTCTTGATCATTTTAAATAATCATTATTACCTTATTTGATTGTAAAAGTAATATATGTCATTTTTGAAAATTTGAAAAAAATCTAAAAATTGAAGAAGAAAGTATGATTATCCATAATCTAACTGTCCATAAGTATTGGTGGCATTTGATTGATTTCCTTTTACTCTTTTTTTCCTGGGTACATTTTGATTTTAGAAAAGAGAGACCATACTCTATATGTTGTGCACTTTCCCAGCTCATGGAATATCCCTTAAAAAATATGATTTTTAGTGAAAGTATAGTATTCTTTACATTATTCTCCATTTCTTGCACATTTTGATTTGCAATTTTACAGCAGTGTACTATAAAAGAAACTGTTAAACTTAGCTGTATTTCTTGCCACTTGCCTGACAAAATGAAGGAGCCACACCTGCTATGAGTAAGTCTTTTTTCTTTACTATATATTTTAGGGTTTGGAATCTGAGATGTCTATAATTATAAAAAAAAATTAATCAAGGGGTAGTGGATATATTAGAATAGGGTTGCCAAGGCATAGACTGAGAATTCCAAGCGTTTTCCCCTCTGCTCACACCTTTGTCCTTGCCAAACCTACCCCATTGGGTTGTTTGATTAACTGAGATCATGGCTATGGAAAGCTCTCACTTTATGTGAGCTCCTTTTCTCTCTCCTCTCCCCATACTTTATGCTCTCACGCACATGCACACACAAGAGCACACACATGTACACACTGAAGAAGTATTTTAACATGTGAGGAGTCTTTGCTTCTGAGTTCACAAAGTGAAGGCTCAGATCTTCCAGAAGAGAAATTTATTAGGAAAACGTCAGTCAACATCTCTGTGTGTCTTGTTTCCACGATAAAACTTATAAATTAAACTATAAATATTTTATTTAATACTGCTTTCCCTCATCGTGCACTTCAGAAACTATAACAACTAAGATATACTCTTTTAATATTCTCTGTGATAGAAGCCAACGCTCTATCCTGTACTCAGATCATCTCAGTATCCCTCCTCCCGTTTTCCAGATCTGTAGAGCAGAGCATAAATATTCTTCAAAGCTAGAAGGATTTCTTCTTTCCTCAAATAGCATAAGGAAATGACTGACAATCTTTCTTGTGGCAACAATTCATGTGTGCTTTTCTTGGGCTATTGCTGAGGAAATCCGTCTTACCTATTCAAGTGGACTATACCTGGTAAAGTTTGATTAAAATGCTTGGAGAATTCAAGGAGGACAAATCTACCAAATATCTTTTTTTTTTTAAAAGATTTTATTTATTTATTTGACAGAGAGAGAGAGACAGCGAAAGAGGGAACACAAGCAGGGGGAGTGGGAGAAGGAGAAGCAGGCTTCCCGCCGAGCAGGGAGCCCGATGTGGGGCTTGATCCCAGGACCCTGGGATCATGACCTGAGCTGAAGGCAGACGCTTAACGACTGAGCCACCCAGGCGCCCCCAAATCTACCAAATATCTTATGCCTGAAATAAAAAGGACAAATTTGCTTAAAAGACTTACCCTGTATTATAATCTCCCCCTTTTTAAAAGCTTGTACTCATATTCAGTGTAGTTTCCTTGCAGGGTCTCTTTCTTCATGTGAAGGTGGCAGTAGAAATTCAGTCTGTTGATAAGCTGATATCCAAGCAACATCACGTGATGACACAAGGAGCTGGGGGAATTTGGCTGCATGCCTTTCCCTGCTTCTGGGCAACAGTCAACTGCACAGTTTATCTTTTTTCTTTCAAATTTTGTGTCTCATCAAGTGCCAACTTCTAAATCTACCATATCTGCATTATGTGCAGACATGAGAAAATAAAGTGCATGGAGACAGAGAGGCTGAATATTAAAGGTCAAGAAATCCACCAGGGCAATGGGCCATTACATGAGTATTTCCCACATTTGGAGTCAGTACCCTCCACCCGCATTGCTCAGAATGATGAAGGAACAGTTTCTAAATATAGAGGTACAGGTATGAATTTTACTGTGGTAACCTATGGAATTGTCCCATTGCTCAAGATAATAGTCCTTTCTTAATTTTTGGAGGAGTAAGATATTCTCATTGACCTTGGATAGAGGCTGTGTATGATGATAATGAACTTGTGGCACAAGGATCTTTCCCACACTGATGTCATCAGCGTAAGGCTTACGTTTTAACCTGACTTATGAAAGCAATCTTATCCCTTCCTCTGGGCTAGCATTATTACCACAGACTTCCTTTTTTCCTTGAGAATCCTCCTTCTGAATGCCAGATTATCTGTAAAAATGAAGACTTCCTAGAGAAAATGGAAGAGGAAGTACCAAAAGAAAACTACAAATTCAAAGTTCTTACGCATGTAAGGGGAAGAAAAAACCAGGGAGATAAGAGTGATGAATTGTGTAGCTTAAGGAAGAAAGGGAAGGGACTTACCAGACACAGGAAGTTTGTATTTTCTTCAATAATTTAAATACAGACCTTCTGGAGAATAAACATGGCAGAAACAAGAGTCTATAATAGTCTGTGAACACCACAAACCTCTCACGGGATCTGAGAGCTTGGTGATTCTCTCCTGAGAGATAAAGAACAGTTGCGTGCAGAGCTGACATCGTCAATTGTCAATTAAGTCTTCCTTGAATGTTTTCCCAAGCATATGATGAAATGGCTTCTAGGGCACAGCACATCTGCTGACTGTTACACACACGGGCGGATTCATAGCAGTGTGCATCAGTCCCTGCATAACCAGGAGAACAGACACAGATCTAGGTGTTCGACAAAGAGGGAATTTTTTTTTATTCTTATGTTAATCCCCATACATTACATCATTAGTTCTAGATGAAGTGTTCCATGATTCATTGTTTGTGCATAACACCCAGTGCTCCATGCAGAATGTGCCCTCCTCAATACCCACCACCAGGCTAACCCATCCTCCCACCCCCCTCCCCTCTAGAACCCTCAGTTTGTTTTTCAGAGTCCATCGTCTTATGGTTCGTCCACCCCTCCGATTTCCCCCGCTTCATTCTTCCCCTCCCGCTACCTTCTTCTTCTTCTTTTTTTTTTTCTTAACATATATTGCATTATTTGTTTCAGAGGTACAGATCTGAGATTCAACAGTCTTGCACAATTCACAGCGCTTACCATAGCACATACCCTCCCCAGTGTCTATCACCCAGTCACCCCATCCCTCCCACCCCACCCCCCACTCCAACAACACTCAGTTCGTTTCCTGCGATTAAGAATTCCTCATATCAGTGAGATCATATGATACAGGTCTTTCTCTGTTTGACTTATTTCACTCAACATAATACCCTCCAGTTCCATCCACGTCGTTGCAAATGGCAAGATCTCATTCCTTTTGATGGCTGCATAATATTCCATTGTATATATATACCACCTCTTCTTTATCCATTCATCTGTTGATGGACATCTTGGCTCTTTCCACAGTTTGGCTATTGTGGACATTGCTGCTATAAACATCGGGGTGCACGTAACCCTTCGGATCCCTACTTTTGTATCTTTGGGGTAAATACCCAGTAGTGCAATTGCTGGATCATATGGTAGCTCTATTTTCAACTTTTTGAGGAACCTCCATACTGTTTTCCAGAGTGGCTGCACCAGCTTGCATTCCCACCAACAGTGTAGGAGGGTTCCCCTTTCTCCGCATCCCCGCCAACATCTGTCGTTTCCTGACTTGTTAATTTTAGCCATTCTGACTGGTGTGAGGTGGTATCTCATTGAGGTTTTGATTTGGATTTCCCTGATGCTGAGCGATATTGAGCACTTTTTCATGTGTCTGTTGGCCATTTGGATGTCTTCGACAAAGAGGGAATTTAACGTAAGGAATCTGTTACAAAAGTATTGGAGTAAGCTAGAGGAGCAAAACAAGAAAGGTCAACTTGCGCAAAGATTGGCAATTACACTCAACCACTCTCAGACCTAGAGCTGGAGGACAACAGGGAAAATGATTTACCCAGAGTCCATAAACACTGTGCCTTTGGGGCAGCTTCTGTAGGAACATGGCCTGAGTAGCACCTTCAGGACCTGACGCTCAGCCAGTGCCCTCGCTGCTATGTTCTGTCCTTAATGTTACAGTTGCTGTCACCACCATCACTGCCCCCACTGCTGGTGTCCCTGACATGGTTGCTGATGCTGCCACTCCCACAGACGCAAGCAGAAACCGTGAAAGCGACTTTTCCTCCCCTCACCCCACTTTCCATCTTCTGTCTCCCATTGGATGCCAGTTGGTGAGGGATTCTGCAAAATGTATTTTGCAGTCTTCCCACTACTTTGGTAAAGAGAAGGGTATAGAAGGGCAAGTACAAAGCTGAGAGATATTGAACACTATCTGAACACATGGAGATAGATACCATCAGTGAAAATCTAAGAGGTACCTCTTGTTTCTATGATGTCAGGTGGGAGGCTGAAAAACTTAGATATACAGTCAGTGTTTGCCTATTACCACTAAAGTTTGGAGTTTTTAAAGAAAAAACAAAAGAGATAATTAACTAGCTCTGTAGTTAGTGTCAAGGAATGAGATAGGAGTTTTTGGTCAATAACTCAACATTTAAGAATGATGAAACCATGTATATTGTCAATTTTGATCAAAGAAATTATTTTCCAAGGACTAACTAGACTTCTCAAACGGAATTAAAACTGGCTACCAAAAAAAAAAAAAAATAGAAACAACCAAAAACTAATTACTATAAGGAGTATAATGTTGACTACTGGTAGAAAAGATACATGCTATTTCGTGGCTGAAACATTGGTACAGCAGTGGGACACAATGATTAACATGGTGGTGTATCTATACAACAATTCTTAGAACATGGGTAGAAATGTGTTTTCATAGAAGAGCAGGGTAAATGTGATCTCATGGGCATTACCAAGTGAGGAAGAGAGACCCATGACTGGAATCCAAGATGACTTAAACCCTAATTCAAAGAATCCAGTCTGCTAGGACAAGAGGCAGAGCATAACTATTTTATTGAGATAAGTACTTCCCTGGAAAACCATGAACCCAAAATGAAATTGCCTGCTCGTATCTTTTTACTCTTGCTCCTTCCCCAGGATTTTCTTAGCTGCAGATCTCTCCATGGGGATAGCTCTGCTAGGCACGGATATCCTCCCTCTGTTACCCCAAGCCCTCAGAGGGCCTCAGTGCACCGTATGAAATGAAGGAACTGTCCCCTCCCCACTCTGAGCTTCTGTTTATCACCTGAACTTTTGGATGTCTCCACTCAAGAGTCTTACACAGACTTTGTTAGACACTCTTTCTCATAGGACTACCTAGCCCATTGGGTTCAATCTTGTTTGGTGGGGGCTGGAGTGGGTGTCAGTTATCCCTCTACTATCTTGCTTTATTTCTCTGATCTCTTCACATAAAACCCCCACTTCTCCAAGACCCCAAACCAAAACTATCACACATACCAACACCTTAGGAGTCACTGGTCTCAAAAACAAGAAAAATTGAGTCCCAGTTTGGACTCTAAGAGCTACTTTCAGTGAGTAAAAACTACTTTGAACACTTAAAGGCAGTGATTATCAGGAAAGGAAAAGCTGGGTATGGTCATCTATATGCTAAGGACTTTGGGAAAACAGATTTAAGAAGTACTGGAAAAAAGTCTAAAGTGGAATATAGCTTAAAAACAAAATAGTCTATGGATTTAATTTTGACTATAATCCCAAGTAAATGCTATGGAAGAAAGAGGTATAATGTCAAAAGGAACTAGAATAGGTGTACTGGGAGTTTGTAGATAATTCTGGATTCAAAACCACGATTTTTTTTTTTAATTGTAGGAATTTATAAGAAAGTCTTTCTCATTAGGGACTAGCAGTGGTCCTTTAAAAACAGATCTTATGGCATAGTTATTAAGCAGTAGAGCCAGGACTCAAACCTATGGTTACTCGAAGTCTATGATTTCTGCCCTTGGCCTCTGGAAATAAAAGGGAATTTAAGCAACACACACATTGCTATAATAGGAAACTATCCATCCTATTGAGCCATTTCCCGCAGACAAAATTCATGCATCTTGATTCTTTCTCTCCTTGGGTGTGTTCTGTTCCCATCTGCAGTATTGCTTTATTGAATAAGGGGAGGCTTCAGTTTCACAAAGACTTGTGGTCATAATTCTGGAGCAAGATAGTCTTGTTATTATCAAGTCGTTGACTTTCTAATAAGTTGCCAGGGAAGGCTTCACACAAATAGGTATCCAGCAGGCCAGTCCCATCAGTCCTCAAACTTGCCCAGGCATTTCTACATTCACAGTGGAGATGGGTGTGACGCTTAGCTCCTTGCCCACAGAAACACTCTCCATATGTATTCTAATTTTCTAAAAAGTGGAGTGAATAAAAATGCCATCTACGACTCGACAGTAGATTGGCAAAGCAACTGTATAAACATTTAAAAGATCAGTACTGACAGCTATGTTTTCAGACAATGTCATTTCCTTTTTTTTTTTTTAGGTTGTTGTTAATAGGGAGAGGGCTCTGGGACTTTTAGATGTTGAGACCTGGTACACTACATCAAAAACTAATGATGTAATGTATGGTGATTAACATAACATAATAAAATTTTAAAAATGTAAAAAAAAAAAGATGTTGAGACCTGGTATTTCTGCCTGTGACAATGTGCCTTGTGCAGTCCTCATGGACAGATAAGTACAATTTGAAACTTGTTAAAAACTTATGCTAAAGTGTGCTAATTAATGAGTCCATGACAATCTGGATAGGTTTTTGGTGGCAGGCTCTGATCTACTCCACAGTTTTACAAGCTTATTAAGTTTTCAGATAATGAAGATCTAGTTTCTAGAGGACAGAGATCTAGGTGGGATGGAAAACAGAGCAGATGGCAGATGACAAAAGGATCTCACAACAAGCTAAAGTGATGGACTGCATCTAATAGGATGAAATAATAAAAACAATATTCTCTATCAGGCCTTCATTTCTAGTCAGACAAATACAGAAAGAAAATGTGTTGCTTAGTAGCAGTTCTGACATAGGGAAAGAAAATGCAACATGAGTTAATGAGGCTGCCAGAGGGATTCGTGAGTGTGTAGGCTGTTATTAACAGAAGTATTATTTCTAAAACAAGGGAGGAGCTGGGACTGCCCTGATGTGCTTTGTGCTACAGTGTGTTGTGTGCACACGAGGGACGTAGGCAAACTGGACTGTGTGGTGAAAATAGAGGTGCTTTGTCACAGGATGAACTGACATGCAAGGAAGAGCTATTGAATCTGGAGAAGACCTATGGCAGAGGGGAGTGGGCTGGGTAACAGTGCTTCACGAAATATTTGAAGAGCTCATACATTTGAAGTTAGACTTACTCTGTATATCCCCAAAAGAGAAAAAATTAGGATCCATAAGTAGAAGCCACGAGGATACAAATTCCTGATGAAAGGAACCACCTCAGGAAAGAATGCACTCCCCATCCCAGATGTCTTAAAAATAGACTGTCTTGATGAAAATGTGGTAAAGGGCATTTACATGTAATACTGGGTTGCTGACACTATAATTCTGTAATTCCAAAAGCCATGTATGAGCCAGAATGTCCCAGCTCCCCAGCTCCCCCATTGTGCTATCCTGCACCTTCTTGATACTGTTTGTCCTCCATGAGCTTCAGCATTCTATGCTTTGACTGAAGGAACAAAATTGGCCAATTCTTATGTAACCGTGGCTCACTATTCACCATTCTAGGCATCTTAGTTGCATTAACCTGGGTAAGTCTTATAATAATAC